CTGTATTGGTGCATGGGATTGTTCTGTCTTAAGTGCAGGACTTTGCACTTGTCCTTGTTGAACCTCATCATTCCTTTTTGACCCAATCCTCCAATTTGTCTAGGTCACTCTGAATCCTAGCCCTGCCCTCCAGCATATCCACTTTCCCCCGCAGCTTGGTGTCATCTGCAAATTTGCTGAGGGTGCACTCTATGCCATCTTCCAGGTTAATGAAGACATGGACAAAATCAGCCTCAGGGCTGAACCTTGGGGCACTCTACTTGATAGCAGCTGCCATCTAGACATTGAGCCATTGATTAATACTCTCTGAGCCTGATGCTCCAGTCAGTTTTCTATCTACCTTACAGTGCATTCATCCAGCCCAAACTTCCTTAACTTGCCTGGGAGCATGTTGTGGGAGTTCATATCAAAAGCCTTGCTAAAATCAAGGTAGACCACATCCACCAGTCTCCCCGCATCCACAGAGCCAGTCACCTCATTATAGAAGGCAATCAGGTTGGTCAGGCATGACTTATAGTTTCATAGATGTTAGGGTCAGAAGGGACCTATTAGATCATTGAATCTGACCCCCTGCCCTGGGCAGGAATGAGTACTGGTGTCAGATGGCCCCAGCTAAGTGTCTGTCCTTTTCAACACCTCCAAGAAAGGGGACAGCACCACCTCCCTTGGAAGCTTATTCCATATTTTGGCAACCCTCACTGTAAAGAGTTTTTTCCTGATGTCCAATCTGAATTTGCTGTCTTCCAGTTTGTGGCCATTATTTCTAGTTACCCTAACAGGCACCCTGGTAAACATTGTATCCCCTATTTCTTGCTGGCCCCCCATGAGATCATCTCTCAGCCTTCTCTTGTGGAGGCTGAAGAGGTTTAGGTTTCCTACATAGGGTTTTTCTGTAGGCCTTTAACCAGACGAGTGGCCTTCCTCTGAACCCTCTCCAGGCCATCCACATCCCTTCCGAAGTGTGGTGCCCAAAACTGGACGCAGTACTCCAGCTGCAGCCTGACCAATGCCACATAGAAGGGAAATATCACCTCATGTTTGTGATGCACCTACTTATGCAAGAAAGGGTGCAGTTTGGAGTCGACTATGACTCCGAGATCCCTTTCCACAGTTGTACTACTTAGAGTGGCACCTCCCAGGCTGTAGGAGTGTTGATGATTCTTCCTCCCCAGGTGCAACACAACACTTATCCTTGTTAAACTGCATCCTATTCTGTTTGGCCCATTTCCCCAGCCTGTCCGAATCAGCCTGGATTCACTCCCTGATATCTAATTTGTGTACCTCCCCCTATAGCTTGGTATCATCAGCAAACTTGGACAGGGTGCTTTCTACTCCCTCGTCCAAATCACTAATGAAGATATTAAATAGTACCGGTCCTAGGACAGGGCCTTGGGGGACTCTGCTGCCCACATTTCTCCAGGTAGAAACTGACCTGTCCACCACCACTCTCTGGGTGCGTCCCATAAGCCAATTTTCTACCCACCGGCCTGTGTAATAATCTACATTGCAACTGTTTAGTTTATTTATCAGAATTGGCTGTGACATTGTGTCAAAGGCCTTTTAAAACCTAAGTAAATAACATCTACCTCTATTCCTTCATCCAAACATTTTGTGACACAGTCGTAAAATGAAACTAGGTTATTCATGCAGGATCTGCTTGCTATGAACCCATGCTGATTGCCCCTTAGCATCATTTTACCTGCTGGTCTCCCACAAACGTGATCCTTAACAATTTTCTCAAAGGTCTTGACGAGGATAGAGGTGAGACTAACCAGCCTATAGTTACCTGGTTCCTCCTTCCTCCCCTTCTTGAAAATAGGGCCCACATTGGCCCTTTTCCAATCCTCTGGGGCCTGTCCTGAGCACCACGAGTGATCAAACAGTTGTGCCAGTGGCTCTGCTGTGACTCCAGCTAATTCCCTAAGTACCCTAGGATGAAGATCGTCAGGACCTGTTGACTTAAATACATTCAACCCCTCCAGGTGCCCTTTAACTAAGTCAGCTCGGACAGTTGGTGGGTTTGTATCTATACTGGGCTTACCTAAGGTCCCAATGGGATGCATATTTGTATTCGTGTCCTGGAACACGGATGCAAAGAAATAATTTAGAAGCTCTGCTTTGGCCATCCTATCTGTTACCAGTTGCCGTAGTTCATCCTGAAGGGTCCTTAAGTTACCCTGTACCTTCTTTTTGCTTCCTATGAATTTAAAGAATGACTTTTTGTTATCCTTAACTTTTGCTGCCAGCCTAAGCTCCATTTCTGTTTTGGCTTTCCTCACTGCTTGCCTCTGTTGAATCTATCCAGTATTCTTTTCTGTAAGCTAAACAGAGTGAGATGTGTTAATCACTCCCTACAGGACATTTCCCCTCTGTCTGGTAATTTTATGACTCCCTTTTGCACCCTCCACCAGTTTCAGTGTCTTTTAAGAAATATGCAAACGAGAATTGTGTACCGTATTTCAGTTTGAGTTTCACTGATGTCATGCAAAGAAATAAATTAAGTCTACTTACTACTGTTGCAGTTCTAAGTTACCAGGAACTCTAAAACAAGTAATGGTGTCTATAATGTAGACAGCCACTCTTCATATGCCTCTTATCCCACCCAGTTCCTTCTTAATAGATTGTAACCAGTGATTTTTAACATTTTGGTCATGAAAAGTGTTCACTGTGGTTGAAATGGTTCCTTTCTAGACACAGAGATTGGGAATATGTGGTGATGAAATAAACTCACTGCCCTTCATGCCTGAACCTGGATTCCATTATCTGTTTTGCTCCATTAGATCCCAAGGCAGGACTCGCCCCCCTATTTGAGGTACAACTGGATTTGGTGAAGCCAGATTTGGTATTCCACCCTTCTCTGGACCCTGGTGCTAATGATGGCTTTTATGACATCATAGAAGGACTCATCAACGACATCTACCGAATCTCATCGTTGGTACCGAGACTAACTGAGCACAGCATTTTCCCTCATTATCAGGTCCTGTGTTCTGTCAGACATTCTTTCATTGTGCAGCATTGTGCAAAATTTGCTCCAGGTCATCATAAAGTCACAGCACCTTTCTTTTGTTTTCCAGGCTGATATGGAGGAGATGAGTGATTTAGCTGACATGCGCCACAACCTGATGGAGCGTGTTCAGAACATTATGTCAATTTGCTGTGACTACCGCAGTTCCTTTGACCATTACTCATACCTCTATGGGGATGACCGGAAAGAATTCATACGCCAGTTCCTGCTGTATGGGCATGTCCTTACTGCAGCAGAAATTGAAGCCCATGCTGAAGATGGTGTTCCAGAGACCCCTCCCACATTGCAACAGTTCAAAGAACAGATAGACTCATATGAGAAGATATATGATGAAGTCAACCGCATGGAGACGATGACAGTTTTTGATGGTTGGATGAAAATTGATGCCCGGCCCTTTAAAGCTTCTCTGCTTAATGTAATCAAAAGGTGGAGCCTGATGTTTAAGCACCACCTCATTGAACATGTCACACATAGGTAACAAATGCTTTTTTGCTCCATTTCCAGACCTCCATCTGTTGGGTTTTGTCCAAAGTTCTATAGTGAACCGTGGGGCATTTATTTTCTGTCCATTGAACTAATAAACTAAAGTACAAACAATTGTAGTGTCCATCCATAGTGTCATGGACTGGCAGTTCCATTATATCCACTACGTATTCTCTGAGACTGTCACTTCTGATTTGATCTTTGATTGAAACTAAGCCTAGATGTCCAGTGCACCTGAGTGGCTGAATAGAGTTGTGAATCAGGATTCCTAGGTCCTACTTCTACTTCTTCACTCCTCTGCTGTAATTACTCTGTCACCTTCCACAGTCTCTCTCTCTCTGTCTTTTATTACTTCTGTCTAATTGTAGGGATTTGTAATTATCCTGTACACACTTCAGCTTACCCAACAATAAAGACAGACTAATATTACAAGCTATTTCATGGGAACATTTAACTTACATTTCTGACATTTCTGAATGAACTTTCTTTGCACATGCTGTTTTGTCTTCACTCCTTTTATGGATGTTTTATCTAGTTTTGTTGACATAAGTGCAAAATTGAGGAGTTTTGAAGAGGAATTAGAAATTCACATATGATAAATGCTGGAAAGATGTACTCGTTCATCCAGTCAGGAAGAAAAAAAGACTATGCGACTTACTGGACAGTCATGACTAAAAACTGTCTGTCTTTCCCTGAAGTATTTTCTTTGGCCTGATTCAGCAGCCCACCTTATTCTTTGGCAAAGCATCTGAAGGTGAGCTTAAGTCCCTTGGACTTCCATGGGACTTAAGCATGTGAATAAGGGTTTATTGAACTGCAGTTTTAAAGCCCCAGTTGAAGGAATTGGACAGGAAGGAAGATAGCCAGTGTTTCAAATGCCCATTCCTATTGATTTTTGTACCAATCCAAATGTCTGGGCTAAAGCTGATAACCTGTGTAAATATAAATTGCTCTAACTGTTTTTCTCCCTTTTTTTTTTTTTAGTTTGGCTGACCTTGAAGAGTTTATAAAAATTGCTGATAGAGGTTTGGGCAAAAAAGTTGAAAAAGGAGATTATGATGGGTTGGTAGAGATTATGGGTCACCTGATGGCTGTTAAAGAAAGACAGAGTAGTACTGATGAGATGTTTGAGCCCTTAAAGCAAACCATTGAACTACTGAAGATATATGAGCAAGAACTGCCAGAGGAAGTATATAAACAACTTGAGGTTGGTACAGAATAATGACCAGTATACAAAAGTGCTAAATAATAGACACTTAAAAGACACATACATTTATGTTACTTAATTTTTAACCATCTGCTAATATTGGCCATTGATTAGACTCTTTTGACAACTGGGTTGCAGAAAATCTGTTGTGGATGGGTCATAGCAGAGCTATTTAATGTTGCATTGAGTTTTTCATTTAAAATAGAGATAAAGTCTTTTGTTTCTTATGAAAGGCATAGCTTTTGGCTGTCAAAACTTGTAACAATTCCTCTTGAAGAACATAATACATTTTTAAAGTACAACCTTTTATTAGATATGAGTTATAATTATTTTTATAGGTCCAATGAACCATTTTTATGAGTGTGGTACTAGGGTGGTAATGCTTGGTGGTAATGCCTATGTTCAGAGCATTAGTTTAAGGTCTTATCTATACTATTTTTTTGGACATAGATGTGTTATTTATGGGTGTGAAGAGATCACATCCTTTTACTGATGTAGATTTATGCAAACAAAGCTCATCAAGATACAGGTATGTTACTGGAAAAGGTCTTCTACAGCTTGGCAAGTGTGATATATACATGCAGAAAACTCTTTTCCACATTTCTCCTAGGAGTATCTGCCAACATAGCTATCTTATTACAGCTGTAGCAGCAAAAGCTCCATAGTTTGGACAAACCTCTGGATTCTGAAGATATGTATTTGGTTCCTACATCTTCCAAGTGCTTTCTGACTGACCTTGGTTAAGTTACCAAGGGCAGGCTTTTATAGATAGCTAGGTACCTAAACATGTGGATAGGAACCTAGACATTGTTCAAAATCATACTACCAAGCTGTCCTTAAGAACCTGGCTTTATCACTCTGAGCTGCAGTTCTCCATTTTTAAAACATAGGTAATAGATCTTTATCCCTCAGAGTTGCTGTGGGGGTATGTTAAAGATTGTGAGGTGCTCTGAACCATGTTATCTAAGATATTAAAATAAAAAAATATTTAAGCAAGAGCTTTCTAAACAGTGCCCCTCTATTATAAATTTATGGAATGATAATTCTGTTTTTGTTCTCTAGGAAGAGCTGGGCTGTGTATGAGACTTGGCTTTGACTAAACTTTTCCCTTTTTTAGTGTTTGAATTTTTGTGATTATAGTAAATAGAGCACATAATTTCTTTGTAGGGAAGCTGAAACACCAAAGCTCTCCTTAGGATACTGGAGCCACGAAAGTATTTTTTCTTACCAGCAACCTGCTGGCTTCATGCAGCTAAATAAAGTACAGATTTCCCTTGCCAACCCCTGGGGTTAGGTTCCTGAAAGTTCCCATGGTTGGCAAAACTGTGGTTGGCAAGACAAAAGGCTTATGGGAAGGTGGCAGGCTGATTCATGGCCACGGAGAACTGTGGTTACTCAAAACTGCATACTGTGGTAGCCAAAATGGTATATAGAATATTAAGCGTGGATAGTCAAATCTGTGGTTGGCAAAACCATGGTTGGCAAGGTTAACCTGCACTGATTGCTATCTTCTCGGTACAGAAAGAGAAGTGGATATGTTTCTTAATGTAATGTATCCAGTATGTAATGTTTCTTAACGTAATGCTTCCAAGATGCTGCAAAGAAGGGTGCAGTGATGGCAGCGCGTGCACTATGCATGTGTGGTGAGCTTACTATATATACATCCACCACTTGTGACTGGTGTTCTCAGTGGTGAAGGTGGGGTGCAACTTCACCACATCACTGCACCCTCATACCCCTGTGTCTACTCCTGAATGAGCACCTGTCTACCAGACTGACTGGTGCTTTTGTAGTTCATGTGGTTGGAGATATTATAACTGGTAAGCAGACACAAGTGTTTTGAGTAGTGGCAGACAGAGAATGGGTTCTAAAAAAAAAAAGTAGTACAAAGTTCTGTTTTAACTGCTCCTTTTTTTCCTCATTATTTTCCTGTTGTGATCTGTACTGGGAAAAGAAATGGAATAAGGGAAGCAGCCTCATAAAAATAAAAAAAAGAATGGAAGCAAGATATAGAAAACTAAACAGGGCATTTTGGAACAAAGAGGGTTTGTATGTATATAAAGGGAGGGGAGAAGCTCTTAACTTTCAAGGTGGAATAGTTCAGTTCTGTTTTAGTAAAAGTCATGTGTTTGCCTTTTATGTAATGATAAAACTATCCTTATTGGGTAAGAAAGTAAGTCTTGTGCTTTTCCAGCATTGTAACTATAAAGAGATCAGATACATATTATATCAAGTGGAAAATAGTGTCTGCCAGCTTTTAAATTTTGTTTGTAGGAGCTGCCAGAAAAATGGAACAACATAAAGAAGCTGGCAATAACTGTGAAACAGCATGTGGCTCCTTTGCAGGCAAATGAAGTGACAGTTCTTCGCAAGGGCTGTGCAGCATTTGATGTTGAGCAGCATAAATTTAGAGAAAAATTTCGCAAAGAGGCACCATTCAGGTATGATAAAAAATGGCATGACAAGAATCACAGAGGGAAAGCCTTATTAGGACATTTCTGAGCTGCCCTTAAGGGCAGATATTTTAACATTTACTTCTCGCTTTTTATTTGGTCACAAGGCCAGAGTTGATATGTGTTATGTCCTCTCTCTGGGGACCCTGTCCTGTATTAATCGGGTTGGATTCAGTGAAACTATTTTTAAAATATTCAGAAATTTCAAATGGTTTTGGGATCTAAGTCCCATTTTTAAAAGTGACTGGTGTACATAGGAGCAGTGTCTGGAAAGGACTGGTGCATAGGAAAGGACTGGTGTCACTTTGAGGAGTAGAATCACAGCTTTTATATGATTTATGGTAATATCCTGGTCGGCAGTATAGATATCTCTGTTTATGCTTCAGCATGCCTAAAAATGTGTATCTTGCCCCAGGAAGGTGATCTGAATTGACAGGCACCTAGAATCCTTATGCAGCAACTGAGGAGAGTTAGGCGTCACCAAGAAGTGATTCATAGCACCTACTGGTGATGAGCAAGCCAGTGGGAGATGTTAGGCATAGAGGAGGGTCTGAGCTTCTGCTCCTCCTTGGAGTTTAGGTGCCTGACCCATGGGCATTAAGACCCATTAAGGGTAGAATTCATTGCTAAAATGCATAACTGAAATTATAAGTTTTTAGGCATCTAAGTCATCCAATGACATTCTGTTTTACCTGGCAGTCAAGGTGTTAGAGCACCTACTCAAGTCAGGGGACGTCTTGTGGACTCAGATAATAGCTTCACTTCCCTTTGAGAGAATCTTGATGTTCCTTGTCTGAATCAGCTGACCACAGACCAGGCAGGACAGCATGTCCTGTCCTGCTGACAATAAGCCACTTGGCAGCCAAGAGGAAAAGTGTCCAGGAGATAGAAGGAAAACAAGCAAGAGGGAATCTAACAGTTGTAGCTTTGGGACATGGATATTGTTCTAGAAGGAGGTTTGAAGCTCCCATGAGGCTGAGGGCAGGGAATTAGAACCCAGATTTCCCATGGCCTCAGCAAGTGCTCTAACTGCTGGGCTGTTTGTAGAAGGGACTGTAGCAGTTCTTACTGTATTGGTGCTGACCCAATATGCCACTGATACATCTCTTGTCCTCTGTAGACTGTGATGCTTATTGCAGCAAATAGTCTACTGTGCAGTTAAGCAGATGTGTAGATGTACCCAGTGGGTCAGAAGCTTCTGGACTGCCCTCTATCTTTTTTTTCCTCATTGATTATGGTACTAGTTCAACTTCAAAAGGAGCACTGGAGAAGGCCCTGCAAAATGACTGAGCTGTGGTGATTAGAGTGCTGTACTGGGAAGTCAGAGAGACCCCTGGTTCAAATCCCATCTATGTGAGGATGACATAGGATTCAGAACCTTTGCCTCCCCGCAACATGTGCCCTAGGCCTTTAGCTGTGGGAATACATACACAGTCACTTTTCCTTCCAGAGGCTAAGACCAATAGATGCAGGTTCTAGCCAGCACCATTTGCAGGCATCTAAGTTTGGTACATATCCACAGGAAATGTGTACAGGCTATGGCTGTTACTGCACTTGATCAATGTAGTTGTACAGTTGCCCAGAGGCATTTTATTCTTTCGCATGTAGCCGTGACATGTAAGTGCTAAAAATTCTCTATGAACAATGGGAAAAGAAAAATATTCCATCCTTAATGCATGCCAGTTATTTACATAATGGCTCGATGTTTAGAATAATCTTCCACGAAGTCCGAGACCTGAGCTTTATGCACTTTTGATAGTGAGGGTATAAGTCTGTATTTCACATCTCACTTTAATTGCCGTGCTATAGAAAAGTCTGAGTTATGGGATTCCCCATCCCTGCTGCTGAAGACAGGCCACTAGATGGCTAAGAATGCATGAATACTGGGGCCAGAAGCAGAACAAGCAAGGGGGAGCCTGACTTTATAGCACTGTGATAAGTCTCCCCCTCCCAAGAAGCAGAGGAAACCAGGATTCCAGTCCTTGATCCTAGGTTATTTCTGTTTTTAAATCAATGATTGAGTAATGTATAAATCATTCAGGGAGCAGGGATGAGAAACTCCATAAATTTCAGCTCCCTGTGCCAGGAGCCTCTGATCACCTGTATCTGGAGCCCTACTGGATCTGCCCCAGCATGCCCCATTGGAGCTGCCAGGTGCATGGTTGAAACTCCCTGGTTGGGGAAGCCCTTGAAACATTTGGGGCTGAGGATCAGTTGGACTGGGGGCTGTCAGGCTCAGCTTGACAAAGAGCTGATTGTCAGCCTCAGCCAGGACAGCTCAGGGGCTTGAATCAGCCCCAGTCCTGTATGGTGCCCAGGCTGACAATCAGCTGAGCCTCAATGCAGGCATCCCCAGCTCTCCAACTGGACCTAGGACTCTCGGGGATGGGGGAGGGAGAATGGGGAGACAACAGTCAGCTGATTGTTGCCCTGGCCCCAGGGGCAGCCCCAGGTTATGTGGGGCTCTGGGCACCTGGCTTTCAACTTGCCAGTACAGGAACAGCCTAAGATCGTTATCCTGGGGTTCCCTTTGCACTAGTAAGTACAAAGGGTGCAACTTCTTATCCCTGATCCCAGAATTTGTCCCCCCTGATATGGTTGTGTGGCATGGGAGGGGGCCAGTTGTTGGGACCGGGGATCAGATCCCATCATGCCATTAAATGGACATGTTCCAAGAACCTTAACTTTTTAGTTTCTTTTGCCAGTAATTTTTACCTCAAAGTGACAGCAGGTACAGGTATCTGAAAAATAACTAGACACAAAGAGGGAAATTTGCTTTTGGGTTATTTTTCCATAAGAAGCTAAAAATGTTGCTTACAATGTTGCTTTCCTTTTCACTACTTTTTATCACACAATTTACTCTTTGTAGAAACTAAAGGTGGAAAAATCACTGACTTTCAGGGGAAGTGATGAGGGCACCTCATGATTTGAAGCTGACTTCAGTACCACTATGTGGAGTATCCAGTGGAACAAGTATAGCTGTTTCATCTCTGTTTTGGCTCTTGCATAAACCAGTTGGCTTATATTTTATTTACAAGTGATTATAGTCTTACTTATGGAGAATAATTCTTTCTAGGTTTGATACTGAAAATCCTTACCAAATACTGGATGCAAACCACATTGAGATTAAACAAATGGAGTCAACCATGGCTTCAATTTATGAATCAGCTGGTTTGTTTGAAGTCGGTGTTCCAGATTATAGACAGCTAAAGCAATGCAGGAAGGAAGTTTGTCTTCTCAAGGAACTCTGGGATATGATCTCTGTTGTAGACTCGAGCATCAACGATTGGCAGACCACAAAATGGAAGGATATTAATGTTGAAAACATGGACATTGAGTGCAAAAAGTTTGCTAAAGATATTCGAAACTTAGATAAAGAAATGAGGGCATGGGATGCTTTCATTGGGCTGGACAATAGGGTGAAGAACACCCTGACATCTCTGAGGGCTGTGGCAGAACTTCAGAATCTCGCCATTAGGGAAAGGCATTGGAACCAGCTGATGCAGGCAACAGGTGTGAAATTCACCATGGATGCAGATACTACTCTGGCTGATCTGCTGCAACTCAACCTCCATAACTTTGAGGATCAGGTTCGCAGCATTGTGGATAAAGCAGTTAAGGAAATGAGCATGGAAAAGGTCTTAAAAGAACTTAAAACAACCTGGAGCAGCATGGAATTCCAATATGAACCTCACCCCCGGACAAAAGTTTCCTTGTTGAAATCTGATGAAGATCTAATTGAAACTTTAGAAGACAACCAGGTACAGCTGCAGAATCTAATGACTTCCAAGTATATTGCCTTCTTCCTGGAGGAAGTATCTGGATGGCAAAAGAAGCTGTCTGCAGCAGACTCTGTCATTTCTATCTGGTTTGAAGTGCAGCGTACATGGTCTCACTTGGAAAGCATATTCATAGGCTCAGAAGATATCCGGTCACAACTCCCTGAGGTAAAAATCAGAAAAACAGAAATCATGTTTCTTTCAGTTTGGAAGGCATATAGGACAATCGTCTTTATTTGACTCCAAGTTACTGGAATTACCCTGTTAACCACAGAGGGCCTTGCCACTTAACATTTACTAGTTACACTGGTAACTCTTTTATTTGCCTAAGCTTATCTAGCAAGCCACGTAGCTTTTCCATAATGAAAGTTGTGCTATGTTTCCTTATTGGGTGATTCCACAAGGATGAAAACCCTTAATGGTCTCTTCTTTTCTTCTCTGTACTATGCAAATACAAAATTCTTTATGTGAATGCCAGGCTGCCAGCATTATTTGTTATACAAAACACATTCTTCCATTTACTTTAGAGGAGGAAATATGGATAATTACATAGGCAAATAGAAAACAAAAAAGTTTGGACTAGACAGTCCTGACAGGAACTTTCAAAATGCAATTACATGCAGCTGGGCCAGTTGTTCTGCTATTTATTCTTTGACAGGGAGAACACAAACCCATTATATAAGAATTTTACTGTTCTCCAGTGGCTTTTAAAGGAGTTTCCAAAAAAAAATTGTTTCCAATTAAGGAAGTATTTTTGGTTGGCTCCTGGTCTTTATCTGGACTGCAGACACCTAGTCTGAGTTGGATAAAGCTCATATTCTTATGTACTGACATGTCAGAGTATAAAGCTTGCTTTTTCACTTAGCTACCACCATGTCTGTGTGGAGTACGTGATCCCTGGTATAAACCGGAGTAGCCTGTGGGCTGCTTTAACTTGCAATAGCTGTTAATAGCAAGAAGTACTGAAACCATTGTTGAGGGTGAGCACAATAATCCTGGTTATACCCACAATCATCCAACCATTCCCCTTACATCATCTTGCATTCCTTTCTTACTTTTGTCCTTTTCTGTCTGACCAGGTGCTCTTCTAGGACTTTCTTCCTCTAGTTGAACAAGTACCTACTACATTTTTGGTGCTAATGCAATAAAAAATAAAATGCACAGTGATAAAACAGCCTGGAATATTAGTGACAGAAAGCTATTACTATCTGATAGCTCTTTGGTGTCCATGAAATCTGTCTATGATCTAAATCTGCTTTCTTACTGAATAAGGGTCCCCATCACAATAAGAATATGTCATCTGGCACTAATTTGCAGTTTCTTCTTTTTTTTTTCAGAAGAGAGGCCAAAATTCAAATACCTCTGGAGATTGGACTCCCATGGGAGTGTCTCTAGGGCAGGGTGATAACATTTTGCTAAGAAGTGGGATGCATGTGTGTTAAATTCACTTGAAGTGAAACACAGCATTTGTTATTTACAAAGAAATTGGAGACCACTTTATTGAGTTGTTACAAAAATACTTGCAGGGGAGGGGGATAGCTTCGCACTATTGTGTGGTTTGTCATTAACTTTAAACAGAGCCAAGGCTTTTCATAGTTTCATAGTTGGTAGGGTCGGAAGAGACCTAAGCAGATAATTTTTTAATGCAGCTTTTATTCTTCACTGAATTGCTTGAGCAACTGAGGAGCCTCACATAGGTGGAGAATTTAATTTGTTAGTAGGTGGGTATACACATGCACTTTAACGTGCATTTGCCTATTTTAATGTGCACTAAAGTGTCACTAAAAATCTGTGCTTAGTTAATGCACATTCAAATAGGAGAATGTGCATTGTGTCATTTAAAAACCATGCTGTATAGTGAATGTGCATTAAGACAGACTGATGCACATGTTCCTAGTACCTCATAGTGGAGGCACTAGATTTAATGTGCATTAACTAAAATGTATTAATATATGTGTAGAAGTGCCCACTTGCTTCTCTGCTGGACAAGTAGGATTTCCTCAGCCATCCCTTTGTAACCAAAGTGTGGAAGGACCTTACTCACTGGTAGTAGGTGTGTCCATATGAGCGACAGACTGACTATTCCTCATTCTGCAGCAGGGAGGGAAATGATCATCCTGGAGGTGAGAAAAGACTTGTTGTTCTTCCCATGGAAGGACTTTAACTGTGTTAAAAAGGAACTTCTGCTCTAAGACACTTCTCCCTTATCCAGAAGAAAGATACCAGGGGGACAGCCAAAGAATGCTCAGTTTCCTAACAAACAAAAACCTGCATAGGGAAATGGGCTGTACCAGGGAACAGTTACTGAATAGATCCTTTAATATGTCTCTCTCTTAAATAGGTGGGGACCAAACAATGGGCCATGATGTCTTCTCTAGTCACACAGACTGAATGACTTAAATGGAATGGTGCCAATAATGCTTTTTGGCCTAGAAGAGCACCCATTCCAGATGTATGGATAAGGCAGTAGCCAAGGGATCCCAAAGAATAAGTCTTTTTTGGTAAAGAAACTAGTGTGTTAATAGTCAATATGGTTTCTGTTTTACCTTTTATAGGACTCCAAACGTTTTGAAGGAATTGATGCTGATTTTAAAGAACTGGCCTATGATGCTAAGAAAACTCCAAATGTAGTTGAGGCTACCAACAAGCCAGGTCTATATGAAGAACTGGAGGATATTCAGAGCAGGTGGGCTACCCTTTTTTCTGCTGGTATACAGTGCTGGGTTTAGCAAAATTTAAGTTGACATACCCTGTACTCTTAGATCTCTTTCCTGGACTGAGGTGGGCAGTCTGTTTTCAGCCAATCTCAATAATTAACTTATTCATTATTTTTTATTTGTGACAATAATTTATAACCCCAAAACTTGTTATCTCAGTGTTAAGGCTGAGCATTCCTGTTTATAAGAGGCAAGAAATTGATAAGGTTTTGAGTGCAATGTGAGCTCACTTACCTCATACATATTCTATATTAGGTATATATTTAGCGATCTAACAAATAATAAAAAATACACACATTTCATAGTTTCATAGTAGCTAGGGTCAGGAGGGAACTGAATAGATCATCTAGCCTGACCCCTAAGCATGACTGAGTCAGTGTTCATTTGACATCCATAATTACTAGGTATTTAAATTCACAACCTTAATATTGCAAAGCTGTCTTTGATGCACAAAACTAGATACTCTGAGGAATCATGAAATGCATTGGAACAGATAAATATACACTTCACATTTAACATAATGGTAGTTTGGTTGGAAAATGCACATTTAAAAACTTAGATCATAGAGAGATGCATTTTTATCAGTGTGACTAGTATACAAATAGTAGGAGATATGTGATATAAATCCCTAAACTAGGGTAATTTTACCCAGTCTGGTATAGAAATTAAAATAAACATGCTGAGTTACAAAAACTGTATGTTCCTCATGAGGACTAGCTACATGCTATGCACGAGCTTTATACATATAGCTATTTTAGTTGTGAATCCAAAAATGTAATGAGTGTTATTTAAAGGGGTTTTTTTGTTTGACTGGTTGAGTTTTTTCATATTCAAGGTCACTGAATGCAAATTGTTAAATGGGTGGGGAGCAGTGTCTGGAAGCGGGATGGGCAGGCAGGGCTGGGGCTGGGATTGGGATTGCAGGGCCATGATAGTGCGGGGCTGGGACCCAAGGCAGAGCCATGATCCACTCCCCATGCACACCTGCCCATGGAACCGGTGCCTGTGACAGGGGTATGCAGGCAGTGGATTATGACTCTGCCCTGTACTGTGGTCCTGCACTGTCACTGCCCTGTGATCCCGGATCCCAGCCCTGGCCCTGCCCACCCTTCCTGCTTCTGGATGCCACTGCTGCCCATCCATGGCCCTGTCCCATTCACCTGGCCATGCAGCCTTTCTGTGTGGGTCAATGGCTGGTTTCCATGGAGATCCCTCCCACCTGCTCTGTCCCATGTCCCCCGACGTGGGTGCAGGGCAGAAGGGAAAGGGTGTCCAGGCAATGTGTCCAGAGACTGGCAGCAGCAGCTAGAAGGAACTACTGCTGTGAGGGCAGGCTGTGTACAGCCTGTGGGCTGTATTTTGTCCAGACCTGGTATAATCCTCTGAGTACCTTACACATGATATCAATAATGATAGTTAAGACCCTTGCAGACATGAAATTTGTTTCTGGTGTCAGAACTGTATTTGTTCATCTGACCTGCAGTGCTAAATACTAATGGAAACCTGTCTATTTATTCTGGACTGTATTTCTCTGCTTTGTTTCCCTAGATTGTCTCTGTGTGAGAAAGCCTTGGCTGAATATTTAGACACCAAGAGATTGGCCTTCCCCAGATTTTACTTCATTTCTTCTGCAGACTTATTAGACATTCTTTCCAATGGCACCAACCCAGAACTAGTAAGTCTTATATGGTTTATCTTTTTATTTCCAAATTTATATTAATAATGTCAAGTGGACTAGACTTCAGAATGTTCTTGTAGCTTATAAATAATGTGAAATAATGTGTTTATTCTCCATTAGTGTAGATATTAATGACAATTTGTATATATTTGTTCTTAATTTATAACTGTCCATTAGATGGCAGCATATACATTATTTTGTCTTGTCTAAATATTGGTATTCCAAATTGGTCTGGCAAAATTTCACTAACCATGACTAGTGTATATTTTTGACAGCATAAGAGGCATGCATTGAGTTTTGAAGAAAAGCATTTTCTTTAAATATCTTAGTTCAAATACCCCCGAGCAATACCTAACCCCTGGATACCTAACCGGAGAATCTTGATATTTTCAGAAAATGCTGAGCAGTCCCCCGTTTAAGAGACACAGGTTGGGCAGTCTAAAATGGAGACACCTGAACTGTCAAATCACTTTTGAAAGTTTGTTGGAATATCACTTAGCAGAATTCATTGGTGACGTGTAGGGGGTGCATGCAGGTGCACATGCATCACCTGAGATTGGCCATGCCCTCCCTGAGAGAAGCACCGGCAGCACTTCCGGGTTTGCCACCAGGCAACCTGGCTGTAGGCTGCTGCAGCAGGGGCGCACTGGGCTCACAGCCGGCTCAGCACAGTAGGCAGGTAGGTAAGATTTCTTCGGGGGAGAGGGGTGACAGGAGTGGAGATCATGCTACCCACAGTGCAGGAGGGAGTGGGGTAGGGGCAGGGGTGAATCATTTACCCCCACCCCTGCCCCGCTCCCTGATGCACTGTGGGGATTGTCCACTGGGCTGGGTCATGGGGCAATTGGAGCCCGGTGGCTCCCACCTCTGGTCACACTGCGGGGAAGCCGGGGGAGGGGTGGCACATTCCCCAACCCCTTGGCTCCAATGCACCGTGGACCTGGACGAGCTGCTGGGCTCCGATTACCTCACGACTTGGCCCAGTCAGGGCCCCATTCATGGTGAATGGAGCCCTGGCCAGACCAGGTAATAGAACGTGTGGAGCCCAGTGTTCTTTTCAGGGTGCGCTGCAGCTGCCAGGTGAGCTGGGCTCTGCCTGCTCCCTGCTTTGCTGCAGCCTTTGAAAGGAGCAGCCATACGGGTGCAGCAGACCCAGCTCCAGCCCTGAACCCGATCCCTGCCTGGTGCCGGTGCCAGCCCCAGCCTCATTCCCTCCCCACCATGAACCTTTCCCCTCCCCTGCCCCTTCCCCCACAGGCTTTTGCATGGGGAGAGGGTGTGCATGTGCCCACACACAGACCCCTCTGGCCTCGGCACCCCAGTTGGTGATCGGCTGCTGGGGGACCCCCCTCCTCTGGTCAGTGATTGGCTGCTGGAGACCCCTTCCCCTGGTGGGTGATCAGCCCCTGTTGCCCCTGCAGTATTAGGAGGCACCAGTCGCCCATAGCAGAATTCATGCTTCTGGGTTTTTGCTTCTGACTAACAGACTGGTGAAAGTCCTTGGTGAAAGTCCCTGGGCTCTTTAGTTTGACTCTTGAAAGCAGTGATAGTGGGAAAGGGACAAGATATTGGTCACATTGTGCCACTTTTGGTACATTGATAGCTGAAGTTGATGGCAGTGAACTATGGCTTTTTATTTTATCTAGTTACCTCACAAGAGAAAGGGCCAAGGCAGGCAGCACCAGGATACTATGCAGTTCGTACAGTGCTGCTGAAGAGACTGGCTTCAAGCAGTGCTGCACTGAAATTATCAGATTTTCCTTTCTGCATCTGTATGTATATGTATCATAGGTTATGGTGGCAATCGTGGTTGCTGATACAAACCGCTATGTACCCTTTTTTTTTTCAAGTGACAATTCAAGTTGTTTCATATTGGCAAGAAAACTTCTTTGTGACTTCAGTTGGCTCAGTGCTGGGATGATACTATACCCAGGGCATTGTATGTCCCTACATTGTCTGATATGTTCAGTTCTCTTTGCACTTCCTAGTGTATATCCGGAAAACCAGTACTAGCAAGGATATAAAAGCTAGTGATGATTTTTAGATTTAAGGCATCCAAAGGTATAAAAGTAACTAGGGTCGAGTCCACTTTTCTTGCAGGTGGGGAATATACTCAGGCACATTCAGCAGAAGAGTAATAGAGTGGCTCCAGGACCTGTCTTGTAGTGGGAGGAAACTGTTTGGGAAGCAAGTGGATTAATTTTCTTTCTGGGAACCTCTCCTACAAAGTCAAAGGGACAAAAAAAAAAAAAAAAAAAA